TCGAAGTCTGAAACGAACAGTCCGTGGGCGTTTTTAATTTTATGTGATTTTAGTGGTTAGAAGTGGATTCCAGGCTTGAGCAGGCAAAACGGGCATAATTTTACATCACCATATACCCATCATTTTATATCATGCTACTATATATCGCTTTGAAAATGTCGAATCTTGAAATTCAGGTCTTATGATGTGAATTATGGAGATGATTATGAATTGGGGAGCTTACATGTAAAAGAATTTTGTATTTATTGATTTCATGTAGTTGTTAATACGGATTTTTGGTGGTCTCAATTTCTTCTAGTGATCATTTCTGGTTATACTTGTTTACTGTAGTCGAACATACGTAAAGCGAGCATAAGAAGGCCGGATCCACCTTGCGTTGTTTGTCGAGGAAGTGGTAGAGTTGATTGTCATGACTGCAATGGAAAAGGTATTGGTTTTTATACATTCATTTTCTTTTACTATTTACTCAATAATTGACCTTTACTAGTTTCCTATTGAAGCAATCTCTGAAAATGAATAAGTTTTTCTTCAAATATTCCCTTCCGCAGGTAGAACAAATCACGTCCAATCAACGATACTTCCAAAAGGAGAGTGGCCAAAATGGTGAGGTTAAAAAATTTCCATAGCCTTTAAATTTAAGAGTTGGTTTGGGCCATGGTTATACACTTATACTCGCAAAAGATCACAATGTAATCTCAAAATTTATTTGATAAAACCAAAAAAAATTAAAAAAAAAAATCCACAGGTGCAGAAAATGTGGTGGAAGTGGGCTCGGGTGCTGTAACCGGTGTCTCGGGACAGGAGAGTATAGGGACATAATTGGGTTCCATTTTATGAAAAAGGGTATTGATGAAGCCCAAAATGAACGAAGAGATTCACTTCGTGACCTGGCAGGTTCATATACATTAACCGATCTACTGCAATACAAAGATCAGCTGGACTCGGGTAGTGAAAGATGAAATGGTGATTCTTGTGATGGATGTGTGTACTGCTAGCTGTTTATAGTACAAGCTCTTGGATAGTATGGCTATCATATTTTCGTGCCGTAAATTATATTTAGCACGGTAAGCATATTTTTCTGATAGATATAGACCGTGATATCCATTATTAGATGTGTACTTCGTGACTGAAGAACATGACATTCGAACGATGACAAAATTCTCTTGTTTCTACATGTTGATTCTATTAGGTTTAATGTTTGGATAAAATCATTGAATATCCCTTGCTCGACAATAGAAAAACTCTTTAAAGAAATTTATTTGATAAAACTGTACCTAGCCATTAGTTCAGTAATTCTGATACAAGACAAACAGCATTTTCAGCAGGTAACTTGCAAGAAAACTATTACATTCTAAAAGAAAAGAAAAAACATTCCAGGAGTAGGTCAAATCTCAAGAACAAAACATGTGCAAAATCCGAGTTCAAGACTCGACTCCATATGGAATAAGAGCCGCTGCTACTATCCTTCCTTCTTCATTCAATATGTTATACGTCGAGGCTGCATTCCTCTGGCACAACAAAAAGAAAAAAAAAACAAAATGCAATATCAGGTTTTTTTCTCGATCGAAAGGAAATAACATTTCGACCCAAAAAGTGAAAAGTTTGTACAATTAAGGGGACAAAGTTTAATGATAAAATCAAGCAACGAGAAAACACGGCAGGAGAGAGAGAGTTCACTTACTGAGTCAATTGCTTCTAATTTCATGCCCGTGGAGCGAACAAAGTCACGAAGTTCAGGTTTTACGGGTTGTGTATACCTTCCACATCCGAGAATCAAAATCTCTGAAATTGAGACATAAATCATGGAAAAAGGTTGCTATAGTCGGACAGCTACACCATTATGTAAAATCTTATGGGAAATTCGAGTAAAATATATAATGTGAGCATATAACAAAATGGTATATATAGATGTGGTAAGAGTTAAACACCTTATACACTAAACCACAGATTTGTCAAATAAAGGGTTCCACATCTTAAATATAATGATAACAGAACACTAGCTTTTATTTATGTAACGATTATATTATGTGTTAGTCTGGTTTTAATTTAAGTTTAATAAAAAATGATGTCATGTCCTCAGGCCAGTTTAAACTTCGACCCCCAACTCCATTTTATAAGACCTATGTAACGATTATATTATGTGTTAGTCTGGTTTTAATTTAAGTTTTAATAAAAAATGATGTCATATCCTCAGGCCAGTTTAAACTTCGACCCCCAACTCCATTTTATAAGACATTTTCATGCAGGCATATGTATTAATGTGTGTGTGTGTGTGTGTGTGTGTGAGAGAGAGAGAGAGAGAGAGAGAGAGAGAGAGAGAGAGTTCCCACCTGGTACTGGGTGTAATGTCTTGAAAATGGATAAGCTGCAAACAATAACGATAGACAGCACCATTAGGAGGCATAATCAAGCAACACTTCGAAGACGAAATCTAATAAAAACAGCTAAAATGAAGTTGCCATAAACAATCTTCCGTAAGGTTCTTTGATTAATGCAATAGTTAAAGACCTTCAGAAATATAACTTCTACATCGAATTCAAACATGAAATGAATCACCTACAACAGTAATAACTTCTCAGAACCACTTCCTCTCTCATAATTACGCTCTTCATCAAACTGCACTACTAGAAAGCTTTAAAGAGAAGAAGGTGAAAGCTTGAAACCATATAGTTTATCCCTTATAGCCATTAACCCTATTTTAAAAACACAACGCAAAGCAGACAGCAGTTGTTATCAAGCTTTTTCCTCCTTCAGAATCAAGAAAACTTGTTCAACAATCCTTTACCTTTCATCAGTGATATCTGCGAATTTTTTGGGAGCCCAAGACATTATCAAATTTCCTACACAAAGTAAGCTACCCTCATACTTGACTCCATTTACCTTGAACCCTGTGTCGTCAAACCTGTTATAAACCACAAAAGAAGAGGAGCAACTAATCACCTCAGCATACACAAATGAGCGTTCGATACATAGAAATACACAAAAAGCCAGTAACAAATCTACTTATTTCGCCCAAGATGCAAGCATATATCAATGTCCAAGTTCAATAGCCTATGAAGGCAATCTGCCTAAATGTGAAAAGCTATCGATGCACATGTGTTCTTGCACAAAGCATAAAAAAATGATAACAGTTTTCTCCCATTTTCAAATCTATATAGCACCAACAAATAAATAAGCTGATATTTACTTCCCAAGTTAACTGAAATACGAAAAAAAATCTCAATCTCCATGAAATGAAGATGATTTTCTCATGTCCATGTCACCAAATATCATCATCTTCAATGGTCGAACCATACACATCCAAGATGAAAATTAATTGATAACCAGTGTGAATTTCACCCCCATAGCATCCAAATGCAGATCTAATACATACATAACAAATTATATGCAGCCAAGAGGTAATTTATGTGACTATCAAGAATTCAAGACAATGCATTCCACCATTTTTTTAGTTTTTTTTTTTTCATTCAAATCCTTCCTGCAGAAATTTTTAATTAACAGCACTAAATCATTAACTTCCAAATTCCAGTAACCACAGAATTCACTAATTCACTCCTAAAATTAATTGAAGTACACATAATAATCCAGGAATCTAATACATTTCAACTTAATTAAACACACAATGCTTCAAAAACCAACGCAATAAATAGATAACTCCAAAGAAAATCAAGCGAGAGAATGTGTTGAGAAAGATAGCCGAAGAAAGAAAGGGTCTATTAGTACTCTTGGAAGCGGAGCTGGTCGTCTGGGACATTATCGATGAGATTGATCTGATCGTAGAGAGAGAAAGCTCTCCTCAGCGACGGAAGCGCCGTGTGGTGCCTCGGCGGAACCTCCTTCTTTAGCGCTCGAACGATGGTCGGTAGAGCCGCCACAGCTCTCCGTCTCGCCGACATCTCTTACGTCAGCTCGTCGCCGGTGGGGTAGTGAAGAAATGCCGGAAATGGAAATGGAATTCTACAGATTTTTCAAGGAAGCCCTCACCTTTTATGGGTATTCGAAAACGGCCCATTCAAGGCTCGGATGACTCATTAACGGGCCAAACTCAAACTCGTTTAGCTCAACTTGAATTGGCCTGTTTACACCCTAACTAGTAGATATCCTGTGCACATGCACAGATGTACATAAAATATTAGTAAGTAATATTTGAGAATAATATATTACATTTTCAAAAATTTGATCATTAGGAAAAATAAATTAACGATTTTATTATTATTAACAATTATTTATTATCATTAGATAATAACAGTTTGGTTATTATTATTACTAGTACGTAACCCGTGCGTTGCACGGACTGTATTTATTTTAGAGAATAATATAATTTGAAGTGTATTAAAAAATAAAATAGTGATATTACGTATGTATATTGTGAAATCATAAAATATTCATAAAAATATATTATTATGAACCTTATTGTACAATATTATTAGTTTGATTACTTGGCAACTTGTTGTCCCCAAAAACTAATATTTTAAACTCATTTCTATTACTTCCATGCGAAACAACAACATATAATAGGCGTGACTAAATACTAATTTATTTAAGAAAAAAGTCAAAGTACGATAAAATCTGACGCTGATTTTTATTTATTGTAATGACATAAAAAACTATAAGTAAGAACAGATGTCGTTGGAACTTAAATGAAACTCTAAGATTAGAATAATCTACTTATAATATGATAATTTACCTGACAGTTCGACAATGAGTTGTTAGTTTATCATTTTAATATTGATTATACTTAATTAGCGAAATAATATTTATCATTATTTTTATAGTTTTGTATTTCATTATAAAAGAAAATTAAACATGTATATTTAAAATATTAAAAACACCTAAAATATTATATAACATGTGTAATTAGACATTAATTCACGTTAATTTTTTTAAATCGAACATTTTTTAATTGGACCACTGCCCTATTATATTATATGTATGAATATTTTTTATGTAGTAGATTTATATATATATAGATATAATTTTTGTCTAACAGATATACTTTTATCAATACAATCAATAGAAAATCGATTTCCTATACAAAATTTCAAAAACTTTGTTTTAAAAACAATAGTAACAAA